CTGCTCTGGCCTCCGGTACCCACAAACCTCGTTCTCTCACCTTAGTTCCCAGAAAGCTGTGGAACTGGAGGCCAGAGGTCTGTCGTACAGCCAGGCTGGGACTGCCCAGAGATATTTGTCCCCTGCCCACGAAAGCCTCCACCATCACAGCTGAAACCCTCCCTTGTGCCCGTGGGGCCCCTGGAATGTGGCTGTGGGGCTGGGTCTGGGCCCACGTGGGTGAGGCAGGTGACTGGGTCGCAGGTCTGGGTGTCAGGAATGAAGCCTTCCTTTGTGTGCCTGTTGCAGGAAGGAGGGCGACGCGGGGACACTTCTCTCCTGGTCTCAGAGCTGCATCTGAGGAGACGGAAGCTGGGGGGCTCTGTTGACCAAGGCCTGGTCTAGACCAAGGGTGCTGGGATGGCGGGGAGAGAGAGGTATGGGGTGGGGTCTTCCCACTGCTGGTCATCATGACCACTTGGCAGTTTGCAAAGCACTTCCTGTGGGTTATCTCCCTCCATCCCTGTGAGTCAGACTGGGCAGGAGTTACTCGCATTTCCCCAGTTGGTAGATTAAGGCAGGAGAGAGGAGGCGTGGTTACTGAAAACCACATACCCAATAAATGAGAAAGGAGGAATTCGAAGGGTCCAGGTCCTGGGTTGAATGCTCTGCCATGGCCTCTCCTTGGGGAGCAGGGGAACTGGGGGTGGGTTCTAATGTTTATGGAGCCTCCTCTCCTCATATTAAGGAGCCCTGGTGGTGCAGTGGTTAAGAACTCAGCTGCTAACCAAAAGGTCGGCAGTTCGAATCCACCAGCTGCTCCTTGGAATCCCTACTCTGTCCTATAGGGTCACTATGAGTTGGAATTGACTCGACGGCAAGGGGTTTGGTTTTGGCTTTGGTGGTGCAATGGTTAAGCGTTCGCTGCTAACCAAAAGATTGGCGATTTGAACCCATGCAGCGGCTCTGTGGGAGAAGGACCTGGTGCTCTCCTTCCGTGAGGATTAGAAACCCTATGGGGCAGTTTGACTCTGTCACTTGGTGTCGCTATGAAATGAAAATCAACTCTATGGCACCTAGTAACACCACTTTCCCATATTGCCATCAAATGCTTTCTATGGCCCTATAGCTGGAGTTAGTTTTTATGGCCCAGTTTCAAGTTAGGAACTGGGCTCAGAGAGGCTGAGTCACATCCCAAGGTGGAATCCAGACCTGGCTCTTTCCACTGGGCTGCACTGCCTGTCCAGAGAAGGGAAGGCCCAGCTTCAGAGACGGCCTGTCTGGCTGCAGCAGGCAAAGGACAGAAACTGGCACAGCATCCTGGGCAGGATGCCTGGGGCAGGGCCTGGGGCTGCAGCCTGGGCTGGGGCCAAACCACCCAGCCATGGCTGCCTGGTACTAATGAGCAGACCTGGGGCCCCACCCAGACCTTGAGCCTGAGACTTTGAGTTTGGATCATAACCAGGGATTTGGGGCTAGGGCAGCGAAGGGGCAGCTTGTGCCCCCGTCTGGGCCTGGCGTGTAGGGAAAGCTACTTTGAGGAGTGGCTGGAGGAGAGTCAGGGTGCAGATGAGGGGCTGGCCAGGATCCAGCTCTTCCTAACCCTGGGGTGATGGCGAGTAATTGCTCCTGTGTTAATTGCTGGGGCCGTAATATCTGCAGAGGTTTTAATGAGCTCCGGCTGACTCTGAGTTTGATTATTTTTCCTTCGGGGGAAAAGACAATATCCTCCCACCCATGAGCACATACGGCACTGTCTGGGCCCAGCACTCAACTGGGCCTGGCTCAACGAAAAACTGAGTGAGGAGGAGCCCACCCCAATTCAGCCACCCACCGCCCCCCTCTCATCACCCCCAGCTCACCTGTAGGAATCTGGGGTCTGTGAAGTGACCCTCTTTTCCTGCCCTCTGAATGGCTGTCAGAACACCTGTTTCAGTCCTGGTGCTGGCCCTTACATGCTGCGCCACCTTGCACAAATTGCTTGACCTCTCTGAGTCCCAATTTCACTCCTTCTGCAGCAGGAACAGGGATCATCCTCTGGGTTGTGTGGATTAGAGGAGGCCATGGATGCACAATAGCCTGTAAACTGAAGTGTGCAGCGGACGCGAGGAATTACTGTTATTGCAGCAATAACAACAACACCCTAGATTATCCAGTAAGAGCTGGCTACGGAAGAGTGAAGCTGCTAAACCTCTTGGCTCACAGGGCATATTCTGATGTCCAAGGACTAAAGCCCTTCCCTGGCGAGAGTGCTCGGGAGTCCCAGGTACTGGACATGCACCCCACCATCCAGCCCCTCAGAGATGAGGAGCCAGAGGAGGCAGGATGGGGGCTCCTGGGCCTCAGGGCTTCCTGTAAGTGAGAGCTGAGAGTGGCCCCCTAGGAAACTGAGACTTAAAAGTAATAGGTTCAAGGTCTCACAAGTAATTGATAGAGTCAGGATTTGAACCCAGGCCTGAGGGACTCCAAAGCCCTGTTCACCTCACCTTGCTGTAGCCTTGGGCCAGGATTCCCACTTCCTGACTCTTCAGCCCAGTCTTGGCTCCCCCCTCTGCCTTCCAGCTCCCCGTCAGCCTGGAGTGCTGGGCCATGCCCCCCAGTGGCACTGCCCACAGGTATGAGGTATCCCTGGAAAGCAGGGCCCCTGAGTGTGTGGGCAGAGAAAAAGGCTCTCCTGAGGTCCGTCCACCTCTCCAGCCTCAGTCTCCTCTGTGAAGTGATGTCTTAACCACAAGCTCTCAGAGATTTCTCCCTTTCTCCTCCCTCCTCACAGCGCTCAGGCACAGTAGAACTTTCTGGGTTGGCCCCTCCCCAGCCCCACAACGCTTGACAGAACAAACGAGGGTTAATCTGGCACTGCCAAGCATAGACATGCCTCTCCTGGAGGAGTCAGGGGCTTCCTGAAACTTGCCCCAGTCTTATCTGCAGAGGTTTGCCCCAACGTGCCCCTGGAGCAAACACAGGTTCAGTGATATGTGCAGTTGACAAGTGGCGGGATTAATCAGCCCCTTGTCAGCCTGGAGCCTGCTGGGCTTTTGTGGGAGTGCCAGTGCCATGTGGCTGGGAGGTGGGGAGGCTGCAGAAGCAGTGTGTGGGGGAGGGGAGTACAGATGGCGCGCGGAGTGTCCATTTGCAGCATCTTGGAAGGGACAGATGCTGACGCCTCTGGTCATCCCAGCTGAAACTTGACTCCAGATCCCAGTCCTGTCCTCAGCCTGACACCATGAGCCCTGTAGTCTTCCTCTGCCTCTGCCCACCGATTCTCGGAGACCACTGCTTTCCCCAGCCCTGCAGGCTCACGCGTTGGGCTGTTAGTGGAACACAGAGAAGCAACTGGTGAAGTGAACTCTCAAACAGAGGGAGGGCCACTTGTCTTGGGGTGACGGTGTTGGGTTGGGGGCAACAGAGAAGCCCAGCCGAGGGCAAAGCTGGTCCGAGCTGTTCTGACAGTTCGGACAGAGCCTTGGTAGGCGAGGTGGATGAGAGCGTGCCCTGCTACTCTGTTTTCTCCTGAGTGTCGAGATGAACCTGTAATCCACACGTTAAAACCATAGCCTGGGGCAAGACACTATTAATTCTGAATCATCTCTTTTGTTGCATTAAAAAAAAAAAAAAAAGAAAAAGAAAAACTTTGCACCAGCCCCGTGGAGGTATGCAGGCAGCTGTGTTTGTCAGAAACGCAGAAGTTGGCTTCTCTTTGGGGGAGGAGACGCAGTCCCACAACCCCCTCCAGGGTTATATAAAGAGTCCCGGGCTGAGGGGTGACAGTCGCAGTTTCGCCCAGCCCTGCACCTCCTGCCAGTCCTCCGTGCTTGCTGAGAACTCCCCAGCACCACTGCCTGGCCATGAGCACCACATTTCTGCAGACCTCGTCCTCCACCTTTGGGGGTGGCTCTACCCGGGGGGTTTCCCTCCGAGCTGGGGGGCACTGCTTTGGTGGGGACAGTCTCTATGGGGGAGGTGGAGGCCGTAGCATCTCAGCTTCTTCTACTAGGTTTGTGTCTTCGGGGTCAGGAAGGGGCTATGGAGGAGGCATGAGTGGTGGCTTTGGTGGAGGGGCAGGTGGTTTCGGTGGAGAGTTTGGAGGTAGACTTGGAGGTGGTTTTGGTGGGGGTCTCTGTGGTGGCTTTGGTGACTTTGGTGGTGGCAATGGCGGTCTCCTCTCTGGCAACGAGAAGATCACCATGCAGAACCTCAATGACCGCCTGGCCTCCTACCTGGACAAGGTGCGTGCCCTGGAGGAGGCCAATGCCGACCTGGAGCTGAAGATCCGCGACTGGTACCAGAAGCAGAGCCCAACCAGCCCGGAGTGGGACTACAGTCACTACTTCCAGACCATTGAGGAGCTCCGGGACAAGGTGAGTCCTTGACATCAAAGACAGGAGAGCAGGTGGTGGTGCCCTGCAGGGGTCTCTAAGGGCAGTGTTACTGTGACTCGAGGAGATTGTTTCCTTCCTGCCCGGGCAATGACTGTCTGGTGTGTAACCTCGGCAAACTTGGAATGCAGGAAATGCTTTCCAGATGCGAATGCCGGCACACGTCTGCTTGACTTGGCAATGCCGGGAGGATCTTGAGAATCTGGTCAGTACCAATGGGGACACAGGTGGGAGCAATTATAGAGAATAACCTACTCCCTCCTGCCCCACACACCCTGCAGGGTTCTGCATAAAGTGTTCCATTACTTCTTGGCAAGAATGGTGCTTGAGTGTAGCTTCATGCCCCTAAATGCCAGGACCTCCCATTACACACTTTAAGGATGTCTTTAGTGCCAAAAGAACTGTTGAGACTTAGGAAACCTGGCAACTTATCACAGGATCTGTCAGCCACTCACTCACATGTTCACTCATTGGGACCTGCTTCCTTCTCTGTAAAACGCCTTCTGTAGTGGCCCTTCAGGTTCCCACTGGCTTGAATGTTCCAGGGCTGTGTCAAGGTGTGCAGAAGGGCCAGCAGCCCATGAGCTGTTCAGAGAGGAGGCTGGTGGAGTACCCCGGGGAGGGCTATTGTCAGAGCCCATGGCACCCCACTCCACCACGCCCCACCAGGCAATTCCCACAGGGGATTCCAGGCAACATTGATCCTTGGTCTTTCAGGTCCTAGAGACAGTGAGGACAATCCCTTAGGTGTCCTAGAGAGGGTGGCATGGGGCCAGACCAAGTAATGGACACTCAAGGTGAGATGGACTCTGCTCCAGGATCCTGCAGGCTTCAATAGGTAGTGTTGGGGGGAGATTCTCAGCGAAGGCTCCAACCTTGGGGGTAGGACTGGGAGAGCAGCAGGGAAGAGGGAAGGAGTCCTCTGGACACCAACTTCCCATCTACAGATCCTGGCAGCCACCATTGACAACTCCCGTGTCATCCTGGAGATCGATAATGCCAGGCTGGCCGCGGATGACTTCAGACTCAAGTGAGCTCCTGCCTTCCTCTCCCCTTCCTGCACCCCCTCTTCCTCTCCCTCCCCTGACTCAAGCAGCCGAGACCCCTCTTCCTCCTTACTTTTGGCTCCCCCTCTTCCCAGGTATGAGAACGAGCTGGCCCTGCACCAAAGTGTGGAGGCCGACATCAACGGCCTGCGCAGGGTGCTGGACGAGCTGACCCTGGCCAGGACTGACCTGGAGATGCAAATCGAGAGTCTGAATGAGGAACTGGCCTACCTGAAGAAAAACCACGAGGAGGTGAGGGTGGGGCAGGGGCTCGGGGGTTGTGGGTGCAGAGTGGGCAGCTGGTGCCTCTTCATAGTTGACCACAGGGCTTAGTGGTTCAGAAATGCACCCCCCGCACACACCAACACCAGGGGTCACCACGGAGAGGAAGGTGCTACATCATTCACCATCCTCTGGTGGACCCAGATTTCTCTTCTCTGACCCTCAGCAGGCAGGGTGGCTAGAGTGGACTGCTGTCCTGGTTTGCTTCATGAGCTTGCATAGAGCCCTATTGTCTCAGGGTCCTCACCTGGTAGGGCATACAGCAGAAGAGAGACCCTCAGAGCTGAGAGGCTCACGTGACCAAGCTTCCATCCATCAATTGATCAATTGTTTTTCAGTAAATGAGAAACAGAGGCCCCAGGGGAGGTGGTGTGCCAAGGCCACATGGTGGGCTAGGGGCAGAGCCAGGATGGGCACACAGGACACCAGATCCTTGGCTCTCTTTTCTACCTTCTCTTTCTAAACGGGCTCCTTGCACCTGCAGGAGATGAAAGAGTATGGCAGCCAGCTGGCTGGCCAGGTCAATGTGGAGATGGACGCAGCACCAGGAGTGGATCTGACCCGAGTGCTGGCTGAGATGCGGGAGCAATATGAGGCCATGGCAGAGAAGAACCGCCGGGATGCTGAGGCCTGGTTCTTCAGCAAGGTGGGCCGACCTCCAGCCCCACCCCAGCTCTTCAGGTCTCTGAGAAGACCGTAAGGCTTACTCCTCTTGTGGGTGATTCACAGACTGAGGAATTGAACAAGGAGGTGGCCTCCAACACAGAAATGATCCAGACCAGCAAGACAGAGATCACAGACCTGCGACGCACTCTCCAGGGCCTTGAGATTGAGCTTCAGTCCCAGCTCAGCATGGTAGGGCTACCCACCCACACCCCAGTGTCTTGGGGCATGGCAGGTGTTCTCACCCTCTGTGGCTGGTTAGGCCTTGGAGTTCTCAAGCCCCTTCAGGGGTGGTTCCCTGCACCTCACTCAGTCCTTCTCCTCTCCCCTGCCCCTGCTGGCTTCCTATCCAGTCTGATGTGTCTCTTCATCCGTTGTCCTATCAGAAAGCGGGCCTGGAGAGCTCCCTGGCAGAGATTGAGTGCTGCTACGCCATGCAGCTGCAGCAGATCCAGGGGCTCATCAGCAGCCTGGAGGCCCAGCTGAGCGAGCTCCGTAGTGAGATGGAGGCTCAGAACCGGGAGTACAATATGCTGCTGGACATCAAGACGCGGCTGGAGCAGGAGATCGCCACCTACCGCAGCCTGCTTGAGGGCCAGGGTGCCAAGTATGGGCGGGGTACAGGGAAGGAGGGCAGGCAGGGGCTGGGCGGTGGTTGGGGTGGATATTCATTTAAAAGGAACGGTAGAGTGTCCCCCAGGTGGTAGGGTGGTATAGTGCAAAGAAATCTGAGTAAAGAGTAACGAGTTCTGGACTCTGGGCTCTGATCTTGGCTGTATCACCTTGGGCAGGTCATTTCACCTGTCCGGACCTATGTTTCCTCTGTAAGTGATAGAGGTTGGGCTAGTGGTCTCTGAAATTTAATGCTGGTTCTATTCTCTGCATGACATAGATGGAACATTATTGTAGATCAGAATCTATCTTCTTGGGGATGGCAGGCTTGGAAGGGCTAGCTAGATGTCCCAGCCGCTACAGAAGTCAGTCCTGGGGGATGGTGATGGTATGGGGGTTGAGGAGGACCATTTAGCCACTCACAGGGACCTCCACTAGGGAGACTTTTGCTTTTGTCCTTTGCTTACATCTGCATCCCTCTCTCTTTCAGGATGGCTGGCATTGGCACCAGGGAAGGTAAGAGGGCTTAACTCCCTTGGCAGGGGGATGGGGGGCACTGTTGAAGCCACTGTTCCTCTTGGAATAGGGAGGAAGGAGAAGGAGGCCAAACATTTCAGTAGGGTGGGACCACTCCGATTCCCATCCATACCTCTTCCCCAGAATGACCCTGTACTGGCCCCAGGTGGGGATGAGGTTGGAGACTTTGAGAGCCTCCCAGGTTGAGCAGGTTTGTCCAGAGCATGTCTCTCACTTAGGCCCCACCTTTCACGTGCGTATACTGTAAGATGCCCAAGATGACTCCGTGTTCATATGCAGCTTAAAAAAACCTGTCATTATTGCTCACTGTTGGGCACACCTGTCACCAGGTATACCTGCTGCTACCACTGCCCATCTCTTGGACGAGTAATTCAGCACCAGACCTCCTGGCCAGTGGCCATTCTCAGGTGTGCTGTCCAGTTCTCCTGGAGCTCAGCTAAAGTTCTGGCCACCTTGGGAAGGGGGAAGGGAGACGTCCCCCTCTGAAGCTTGCTGCTTCTTTCTATAGTTTTCCTGGGAGGTGGTGGCGGTGACAGCAGCAGCAGCAGCAGCAGCAGCAGCAAAGTCCGCATCAATGCAGAGGAGTCAGTGGATGGGAAGGTAGTGTCTTCCCGAAAGAGAGAAATCTAAGTGCGCAGCGCAGGAGAAACGTCCTTCGCCACTCCCACCCTTCCCAGGCTAGGTGAAGGACGGGGCCCGAGGGGCTGGAAAAACAAACGCCAGACCCTGCTCTCAGAGAGTGACCTGCTGCAGAGGGGCCCTCTGCCTCCTAGTTCAGGGCTTTGCATGCTTGCTGTCACCCTTCCAGCTCACCCCCTGCCTCTTCTAGAGAGGGAGGTGGAGGACACAGTATTGTGTAACCCAGCTCATTTGCATTGTGTCTGTTCATGCAATAAAGAGTTGCTTTTCCTTTTGCAATATCTCTTGGCAGTGGGTCCAGTTTTTCTTGTTGGGGTCCAGATTGATCTCTGAGTTCTGAGGAGGCCCAGGGCCCCCATGCTGATTTCTCCCCCAACTTTGGGCTCTTTCCTCAATGGTCATAATTCATTCTTTGGGATGCCCAGGGTACTGGTGTCTGGGAAAAACCCAGGGCTGCTCAGGCGAACTTGATCTTCCGGCTTACCCGATGGGGTGGAGAAGTGGATGGGGGCTTGAGGCCTCCCTCAGAGCAATTTAAGACCCCTAGCACAGAGTTACTGGGTGGTCCAAATGGTTAAGTTCTCGACTACTAATTGAAAGGTTGATGGTT